TAGTGAAGCCCCAATGCATTATAGAAAGAGCACAGGGCTTGGAGTTCGGCTAGACACAGGTTCAAATCTTAATTCTAAGGAACTTTAAATTGTTTCCTCATTATTCTCTCCTGACTTTTTTTTTTTTTTTTTTTTTGAGACAATCTTGCTCCGACAGCCCTCTCCCAGCTAGAGAGCAGTGGCATCATCACAGCTCACTGTAACCTCAAACTCCTGGACTCAAGTGATTCTCCTGCCTCTACATGCTGCTGATTTTTTCTGTTTTTTGTGGAGATGGAGTCTCTTATTCAGGCTGCTCTCAAACTCCTGGCCTCAAGCAGTCCTCCTGCCTGGGCCTTACAAAGTCCTGGGATTACAGGCGTGAGCCACTGCGCCCAGCCTCTCCTGCTTTAATTTTTTTCTCTTGAACATTTTTATATCTGCAAAATAAAACCAAAGACTAACACAATGGGTTATCTGTGGGCAAATACCACTTTCAGTTTTACTTATTGCATTCATAGCATCTGTTTTATTTGATTTGCTTGCTTTTTCTAATTTTCTTTTGTTAATCCTTTTTTTCTATGCATTTATTAAGGGAACACAACCCAAACAGTGAACCAGATAGCTACTCCAGGAAATGTTTGAAATGAGGCAATTCAATTTAGCTGGATTGTTCTGTGTCAGTGGGTTACAGGAAAGAGTTTGTTAAGGTCCCTATGGGGAAACATAGAAGTTTTCCAGCTTTTCCTTTGTTGGGTCTTCGTCTTGTGCTGTCATTGTTTTGTTTTAATGAATTCCCAGAACAATAGGTACACTCATCTGAAACTATGATTACAGGATACATTCCAAAGCCAAACATAAATTATTTTTGGCCTCCTCATACTTTTTCTTCCTATGATTTGTGTGGCTAATGTAGAGTTGCTGGAACTGTGTATTTTAAATCACTTCCTGAATGAAACACGTAACCAGTAGGGAGAAAGGTAAGGGAATTCTGCATCACTGTACAAATTTTCTTGCTTTCTTTCAGTGCTAGTCATCATATGGGACTCATAGGCATTTAATGTCAATAAATTTATACTGAAAGAAAACCTCTTTAGTTGTGCTACTCTATTAGCCTCATTTCTTATCAGCTAAAATGGTGCTTGTTTTCAGCTGAGATTTCTAGAAACCTGGAGTGCCTACTCATGAGATTGAATGCTTTTTTGTAGGTTCCTTGAATGTAGTAAATCCCAGAGTTAGATAAACATTAACTATAAATATTGACCCTGATGCTGCCTACATTTAAAAAGGGAAGTTGATGGGGGGGGTGAGGGCAACAGACATGTCTTGTTTGGATTTTATTATTTGTGTTTAGGTTAATATTATTTTCACTGTCTTTTTTTTTTTTTCATTTTCCTTCTATTGAGTTTAGAGTAGCAATAAAAGTGTCAAATGGAGTTCTTGGGAATTCAGGACTGGAATTTGAGCGAGAGATGAGAGCTAGAGATAGTAGGTTAACTTAAAAGATAAAATAAATAATGAGATTAAGGCTGGGAAGCATCTGTTATCTCAGGTGGGAGATAAGATGCAGAGCAAAGTGGAGGGGTTATTTGTTTTCTTTTTATTTATTTTGTTTGTTTATTTGAAGAAGACATTTGTATATATAGGTGGCCTAACTTAGGGAGTCAGAGCCCAAGTGATGTGGAAAGGGCACCCACTTAGAAGATAGCTTGGCTTGGAGTGCTGAAGCTTAAACTTTTTGAAGATGGTATTTGGACTTTCATGTGGATATATAGCCTGATGTGGGTGTTAGAGCCTCAGCTGGGTAAAGAGGGCATCTACATGGAGTAATGGCTCAGTTTTGTGAGTCAACCCAGTATGTATGAGAAGACCACTTGTGCAGGGAAAATAATTGGGGAGTAAATGGGAGATTGCTTATATACAGGGAAATTGTTCAAGAAAGTAAAAAACATTAAGGATAATAGGATCCAGATTTCTCATTGTCAGTGAAGAAAGGTACAAATATAGGAAGGGGAAAAGCTAGATTGAGTCCTGTCATGTTGGATTGAAATCAGAGGTATAAGTGAGAACTTATGGTTATATATGCATATATATATTAATATATATAAGTGTAAATATTCATATATATGAAAAACATATATTCTGTCAATATATGTAGATGGATGAGAAAATATATGTGAAAATGTGTGTATTTGTGTGTGTGAGTATGTGTTTCCTACTTCTGTGCACTGAGAGAGCTTGGGAACATCAACACCCAAATGTCAATGAGCACCCAGATCATGCCTTCTAAATACCATTCCTAACTAAAAGGACTCGGGGTTCCTTGAAGAAATGGCTGATTTCAAGGATGGAGCATGAAAGTACAAGACAAGTCTAGAATGACAGAATTTCATGACAGAAATTAAGGGAACTCTTAAAGCATGATGGGGACATGCCAAAGGTATATGGAAACCAGCTTGAAGAGGTTCTCACTGGCCAAATTTTGGAAAATTTGAACATGAAAATAGTGTTAGCAATGGATAATAACCCATCAAATAAAATAGGAGTTATTTACATATAAATGAATGATTGAATAAATGAAATGTTTTATAAGAAATAGTTTACTTAGTGTCAAAGTATCTCATCATAAGATAGTAAGACAATATATTAACAATGGAAAGGCCTGGAATATACCACTTTTATCAAGTGATCAAATATCATCATTAATGGGGCAAATAAATAGCATGTGCCCTCTGACAGGATGCAATTAGAAGAATACAGCATATCACTTCTCTGATATTCCTGCCAAAGTTGCATTAAACTGAATCTATTCATGAGGAAACATCAGACAAACCAAAATTGAGATATTGTTTACCAAATAATTGGCCTGTCATCTTCAAGAATGTCAAGATTATGAACCTCAAGAAAAGACCAAGGATCTGTTTCAGGTAGTGATTTCACGTGAGTATTCCTTCTGCTACTTCTCAGAAAGCTTATGTTTTTCCAAATTTTTAATTCCCTCCAGAATCAGTTGAGAAATTGGGAAAGTGGGAGAAAATTAGCAGTCAACATAGAAACGTTACGGGTTTAAAAGAATCCACCGATGTCAGGTTCAAAGCAAGAGTAGAAAACACTGACACGTAGAGTCAAAAGTTAAGATCAAAATTTTCAGGAAAGGATCCAGGGGCTTACAAGAAAGTCATGATTTAATCATTTAGCCGTGGTTGTAGCTGTTACATGTTACTTGTGTATGTTCATGGCCTGTCTGCTGATAACAGTGAGTCATTCTTGCAAATAAGATAAAGAGTAATAAGTTTATATGCGTAGTATACTTTATACAGATCCTATGAGTGGTATTCTAAGACATGACAAGCTTTAGAAGTGAAATAAGCCCTTAAATTGGCAGCTTTATCATGCAATTCTGTGCAGTGCTGTTAACCTTGCTTAGGAGAGGCAAATGTTATGTTATTTGAATACTACCCAACAATGTTTGCTGGCCTTATCCTTGTTAAATGTTGCAATGTTCAATATAGGGTATGGTTATTTGTAAGGCAGACAAAAGATTTTCATCATTAAAAAAGGAAATGAACTTATATGAGCCAGCGTGAACCCAAAAGCCCAATATAAACATGCTTTTGGATGCACTCTTAAAAATTTCACCACCATCAACACAAAATGATACGTATATACATTGTGTAAATCTTTGCCTCCCAGTCTTCATCTCATCTGGCCTACCCAGCATCATTTTTCTATCTGTCCCACTATCACACAATGATTCCTGCATTGTAGGTGTTCATAAATGTCACTCACACTTCAGTCAGCTTGGTCTCTTTATCACTAGTGAGGTATTATAAAATTAAACACGTGATTTGGAGCTTAATTCTTTTTAGAAAATATTAACTGTGCAAGTTACTTGGCCTCTCTCTCTTCAGTTTCCTCATCTGTTAATGCCATAGCATAGGAATGTTGGAAAAATTAAATGGAAGAATTTACTTTAAGCACATAGACCAGTGCCTGCAAATTGCTTGTAAATTTCAGCTCTTTCTCCTTCATGCTCAATGTTTAAAATATTTATCTGTTCTGATTCTAGTTTTTAAGGCCTATTACTTAATTTATTCTATTTGGTTTTTTACCACATTTATCACATTTAATTCTGACAACCTAGAACAAGAAGTTTCTTAAAAGTGTTGTAAACCTCAACAGGGATAATATTTGTCTAATCCAATAGAACTTTTCTGGTTATGATTTTTGACCAAGATTTCATTACAAAAAAAATGGGGGCAGGCAGGGCTTCATAAAATCAAATTGGCCATAATGCTGCTGCTGTTTTTTTTTTTTTTTAAATCAGTATACAAAGAATTTTTGAAAAACTTATAATCTGAAGATTTACACTTGATATGTAGAAAATTTTTCTTCTTTAATATTAAATTATTGAGAACATCATTGAATGGCACAGTATGCCTCTTTTTCCCCTGTGTCAATAACGCAGTATTTCTGTACATGTACGTTGTCTTAGGAGCTCTGGGAGAGTCAGCGGAATAAGATAATGTTTTTTCCATTCCCAAATGTACATTTCTTAATACTGATATCTAGTTTTTTCTCTAGCCCCATGACAGATTAGAGATGTCTAGGTTTTATTTCAGTTGATTACTGTTGAACTCCCATTATATTTGTACACATGCCCTCATTTGATTTTATGCTCATTCGAATGGTTCTGAAAAAACTGCCATCAACTACACGGTAAGGCCAGAGGTACATTACATCTGGAGGGTAACTGAATATATTAAGTAGTTTGCATGCATAAATTAAATAGTTTGCATGTCTATATTGTCAAAGCAAGAGTACAAAAGAAGACATAAAACTAAGTGGCAACCCTATCTCGTTCCCAAATTAAACGTCAACAGGGAAAACTCAGGCAGACACCCCTCCTCTCCTGGGCCCCTCCTGTTCCCCCCATCTGCCCCATGTCCACTGGGGAGGCTGCCTGGTATGGAGGGTGCAGCCCCAGCAGAGGCGATCTCTGGGTGACCAAGTCTGTGAGGGACTTTGCTATCCATCTGCCAGGACCTGGGGAGAAAGAACCGGCAGCTCTCTATCCCTTCCCCCTCTGCCAGCATTTCGGGCACCCAGCAGGGACTCATTTTGGGGTTCCCACTGACTTCCAGGAAGGATGGGAGTCCTTCTCTGACCCCAGCTCGGGCCGCCACCTGTCTTTGCCTCAGTGACCCTTCTTCCATAATCCTGCGGTGCCTTGAGTCCTCCAGGAATGGCGCAGAAGGGACGCGGAGCCAGTCGGGGACCACGGGGTCAGCAGAGGAGCCCTCCCTGGAGGTGGCGCGTCAGGCGAAGGCCCTGCGGGAGCTTGGTCAAACAGGATGGTACTGGGGAAGTATGACTGTTAATGAAGCCAAAGTGAAATTAACAGAGACACCAGAAGGAACTTTCTTGATTAGAGAAAGCTCGCACTCAGACTACCTACTGATATCTGTTAAAACATCAGCCGCATCAACTAATGTGCGAATTGAATACCAAGATGGCAAATTCAGATGGGAATCTATCATATGTGTCAAATCCAAGCTTAAACAATTTGACAGTGTGATTCATCTGATCGACTACTGTGTTCAGATGTGCAAGGATAAGTGGACAGGGCCAGAAGCCCCCTGGAATGGCACTGTTCACCTTTACCTGACCAAACTGCTCTACACGTCAGCACCACCTCTGCAGCATCTCTGTAGACTCACCATTAACAAATGTACCGGCACCATCTGGGGATTGCCTTTACTAACAAGACTAAAAGATGACTTGGAAGAATATAAATTCCAGGTATAAGTGTTTTTCTTTTTCTAAACATGCCTCACGTAGAGTATCTCCGAGTGCAGCTATGTAAAAGAGAACCAAAACTTGAGTGGACTGCTTTGGATAACTACACAGAATCCTTTCTAAGAACAGCTGAAGTCAATCTAATTTAAATGTGTGAAAAGGTAGCTAGGTATTTAAAGCCCCCCCTTGCCTCCCCAGATAGTTTCACCAGAGGGATGTTTCCCTTCCTAAGGCTGACTGAGATCAGTAGTTCTTTTAAAATAAAAATAAAATGTCCCAGGTCAAGGCTGAAGGAGCATTTATCAGAATGCTTGCCTTTCTGAGGTTCCTTTCCATTAGGTCAAAGGTCCAAGCTCCAGTAGTAAAGAGCTCCACTTGGCAGTACTGAAGAAGTGGAAGGAACCAAGCTGACACAGTCTTAACTTCAATTTTATATGCTTGGTGATCAGAATCTACTTTAGAACATTTTATATTTTGCATTTTGATGTACCTAGGAGTTTTGTTAAACAGATCATGCGTGTGAGTATTTATCCTTTATTTTATGCAATTAACCAAATCAACCAGAAAAGTGACCACGAAATCCTATATTTGAGTTTTTACTACATGTATGAACTCTCTCATGTGAATGAGTACTGTAGTAATCCATTTTAAGGGAGCCTTACTTCAGAAATATTTCAAACTGGTGCAAATAGAAAATACTTTTTTCTTTTCCTTTAAGGCTAAAGACAAGAATGTCATGCTATACAGGTGCAACTTAATGTCTGTTAATAAAAACCAATGTAGATATAGACATTTTACTCTTTAAAAGTAGCTGTGTCTCAACCTGTAGCCATTTGTTTTATGGAATTGGCTTTAGAAATTCCCAGGTTGCACTTGAATTGTCTAACCATGGACATTAGCAAATGTCTCCCTTCTACCATGTAGAATACTTTGACTTAATTTTCTTCCAGATATAGGGGGATACCTGCCTGGTTTTCCAAGTGTTTATTTACTGCTGTTATTATTTGATTGGAATGTAGTAAATAAAAAAACTTGACTTAAAAAAAAACAAAACAACTAAGTGGCAACCCCAAAAGTGAAAACTATCCAAATGTCCATCAGCCAATGAATGGATAAACAAAATATGATCTACTCATACAATGGAATATTATTCAGTCATTAAAATTAATAAAGTGCTGATACATACTGATGTATACACATAACATGGATGAACACTGAAAACATTATGCAAAGTGAAAGAAACTAGACACAAAGGCACATGTTTTGTGATTCCATGTATATGAAATATCTAGAATCAGCAAATCTATAGAGACAAAAAGTATAATAGACGTTACCAGGGGACTGGGGCATGGGGAGTTACTGTTTGCTGGGTACTGAGTTTCTTTTTGGGATGATGAAAAAGTTCTGGAAATGGATAGTGGTGATGGTTGCACATTGTAAATGTACTCAATGCTACTGAATTGTATACTTTAAAATGGTTCAAATGATAAACTTTATGTTATGTGTATTACAATAACAAAACAAAAAGAAAAAGCAGTAAGGGGCTTGGAGGTCATTGTTGTAAGCCTGTTATTTTCTTTCTGCACAGGAGCCATGGATAACAGAGGCTTTCAGCAGGGGAGTTTTAGTAGCTTTCGGAGCAGCTCCAGTGATGAGGACTTGATGGACGTTCCAGGGACAGCTATGGATTTCTCCATGAGAGATGATGTTCCTCCCTTAGACCGAGAAGTAGAAGGTATCATTACTAGTGATGATAATTTATCTTTTAAAAATTATTTTAAATTTATGGACAGTAAAATTCATTTATTCTGGCCCACAGTCCTGAGTTTTCAGATATGCCTAGATTTTTATAACTACCACCACTGTGACAGGATACAGAACAGTTCAACCCCGTAAAGAATTCCCTTTTACTACCCTTTACAGTCAGACTTCCCTTCTCCCTACCCCCTGGTACCACTGATCTTATCTCTGTCCCTGTAGTTTTTTTTTCTTTTCGATGAGGTCATGTGCATGGAATCACATAGTACATCACCTTTTGAGACCGACGACTTTCACTCAGTTTAATGCTTTGGAGATTTATCCAAGTTGTTTATTCCTTTTTCTTTCTGAATAGTATACCCAGGAACAAGATCACTGGGTTATACGGTAAATGTGTATTTAACTTTATAAGAAACTGCCAAACCATTTTCCAAAGTGCATGTACCATTTTGTATCTGAACTAGCTATGTATGAGAGTTCCACTTATTCTGTATCCTCAATAGCTCTTGGAATTTTCAGTAATTTTTTTATTTTGGCCATCCATATAGATTTGTAGTGTTATCTCATCGCAGTTTCAATGTAATTTCCTTAATGACTAATGATGTTGAACATTGTTTCATGTGCATATTTGCCAACCTTATATCCTTTTTGTTGAAGTATGTGTTCCCATCCTTTCCTTCTTTTTGTAATTGAATTTTTTATTAATTGGAATACATCTGCAAAATAAAAATTCCCCTCATTTGTTATTTGTTTACCTGGTTATATCATTCTTTTCAGTGTCTGCATACAATTTTATGGTATGGTTGTACCATAGTTTATTTAACCAAGCTTTTATTGATGCACATTTCAGTTGTTTCTAATATTTTGCTATTACAAACAATGAGAACAAACTTGTCTGCATATGTATATATATCTTTTAAGTACATGAGAGCAGTTTTGTAGCATGAGTGTTTGAAAGTGCTCATTTCCCTACAACCTTATCAATGCTGAATATTATAATTCTTTTTTCATCTTCATAATATGGTAGGATAAAAATTCCCATTATTATTTTAATTTTCAGTTTTTTAATTAATAAAGTTAAGCATATTTTCATACATTTATGAACCATTTTAATTTCTTTTTCTAGAAGCTTCTTGTCCATATGTTTGTCCTATTTTTGTAATGGGCTGATTATCTTTTCTTATTTATTTATCAGAGCTCTTCATGTATTATTATTATTCCTCTGTCTGACATAAGTTGAAGATATTTTTTTTTCTATTTCTGGTTTGTCTTTTTTAACTTTGATTTTTTAAAATCTACAAATATTTTACATTTTTATATAGCCAGATATATCGCCCTTTTCCCTTATGACTTCCAAGTTTCTTGTTGTACTTACAAAGGACTCCATCACTTTAAGATTAAATTTGTATAATTACTTTAAAACTACTATCTGCTTCTTTAACTGACTAGGATTGCCATTCTCTAAGTCAAGTCAGAGGACATGGAATTACTATTAGGATTCATAATTTAGCAAATTCATATTAAGGGTACATGACACTGTAGACACTTTGCTAGGTTCTGGGAGTTAGCAAAGCTTTGCGACACCTTCCCTACCTTCATAAAGTTGATTCTAGCTAGGTAAATGGCCATATAAGTACTTAAGATAGTAGCTACCTCTTAGAGTTTTTTTCAGGATTAAATGAGATAATACATGTACATATAAAGTACTTATATTAATAACGGTACCTGGCAGAGTTAAGTGCTCAATAAAATGTTAGATATAAGTACTATTATATTACTACTGCTATAACCCTGTATTATTAATATAACTGCTATAGCTCTTATAGGAACTCAGCAGAGGAAGCATTGTGTGTGTGTGTGTGTGTGTGTGTGTGTGTGTGTGTGTCAAGGATTGGAGAAGATTTCACAGAAAAGGTGTATTGTAGCAAGGTCTTGAACGATTAGTTATTTGCCAATAAGGAGAGCATTTCAGGCAGAAAGCAAGGTTTTACAGAGATATCAATAGGCATAATATGCACAGGTATATGAAGGCATAAAATAAGTCCAAATAGGTAAGTTGGGGCCTAGAATGTCATGCTAAGAAGTTTGAATTAAGCCTATTGTCACTGTGAGAACAAAGCTCCTTCATCCATTAATTTAACAAATAGGTTTTGAGCACTGGGGCTATGAACTAGCACTATTGTAGGGACTGGGGATACAGTGGTAGAATTAAGACAAACATTGACCCAGAACTTAGATATTGTTGGGGAAGACAATAAATGAATACATAGGCAGATTACCTAGTTATTTACCCATTCTAATAAGTACTAGGATCACTGGCTCTGGTAGAGTGAAGGAATCCATAGCTTAAATTAGCCTTTTGGCTAAACCAGAGTGATTAGTTATCATCATTGCTTCTAATAGAAAATAGTCTCATACCATCTGTAACTTCAGAGTACTTTTTATATGTTCATGTTACTCAGTAGATGATTGGATTAAGTGACTATCCAATATTCCCATTTCATAGACTAGAAAACTGAGGCAGAACAAGATTTTTGAGATTGTCTATGATGACAGAATGTGTTTTCACATGAGTATTCCTTCACCACTTTTCTCTAGCCTTTACAGAAGAATTACTGCTTGTGGTTTTCAAGGTCTGATCACAAAATAATGAAGTTGCTTTCCATGAGCCATAAATGAAAATCAGTCCACTTACTACACTTATATACTACATTATAGTAGTGATAATTTTCTTGCTTTGGTTTCTAATTGTACTTACTTTATTTAATGTTTTCACTTGGGATTTCCTAATAAAGACAACAACAACAGAAAAAAAGGTCACAAAATCCTTGATATTTGGTGGTGAAACTGTGCATAAAATACTACATTTTGTACCAAGCACAATAGCACGTACTAAAAAGATTAGTTAGAAGGGGCTTGGATGGCAGTGAAAGTGGTTTTTTTTTTCCAGATCGCTAGAGGGCTTGATTTATGAGGAATGAATAACTAAATTATGCATAGCATGGTTAAATGCATCTGAGGTAGTGTTATAGCAGTCTGTAAATTAGAAGAAACATAAACATGGTGATCTGAGAGAAGGGAGGGAGGAAAATAGGAAAAGGATTTGAGTAACAGGAAAACATTCAGAGCATGCATTGCTGACCATGAAGTCCAGGCTGCAGAGGCAGGCAAGTGAGAACAGACTACGAGAACAGCTCTGAATGTTTTGCTGTTTGCTTCCTTGTCTTTCTACCTAGTGTCCCTTGCTCCTC